ACCGACCAAATCAATGGTATTTTCTTGTACCTTCTCGTGTCGATTTCGTAGAATTGGTGTAAGTCGGGGAAGTAAATCCTTGATTGGGGGTTGCATTTGATTGATACCGACCACAGTGACAATAGAACGCAAGGCACCAAGGATAGAACCGAGAACTTCTGGGTATTCTTCACCGAGATATTCGTAAAGAACGATACCTAGCTTTCCCATCAAAGCATCTTCACCACATTGCTTCATAACCATTGCGATACGAGAGATCAAATCCGCCGCTTGTTGTCGAACAGTCGCAGATTTGTTGTTTAATCGCCACAAAATGGTACTGACAATTTGGGGGAGGTATGGTTTACATCTCGTGCCAAGAGCGTTAACCACAGTTCCAAATCCATTCAACATGACGATATCCTCGACACTCTGTTCCTGGAAAGAGTGCAAAATCCCATCGATAAGTCGTTCTTCAAGTCTCTCACCAATGTCTGCAGCACCGAGACTTGCAATAACTTTCTCGATAGTCTCCACAGTCATTTTACGATATGCTTCGCTTTCATCCTTCAAGTTATTGACGATGCGCTCCACAATCTCGCCGACACCGACTTTTTGGCCGAGATCAACAGTAGTCTCAACAACTTGTCTATAGTTACGCTTGTCCAATGCCATTCTTCGAACCCAGAAGCTCTTGAAAAACTCATCTAGCACATTCTCCTTCAGGTATCCTGCTGTTACACCATCGGTACCAGCGCATTGTGAAACAACTTTAAGTACTACCTTTTTCATCTCCTCATCAGGAGATGAGAATTCTCTCAAAAGAATCTCCATGATTTGTCCCGTGTAGTAGTTGGCGTATTCTTCGTCCATCAGAGGGATGATGTATCCAACGGCCTTCAAGAAACCAGCAAGACCTTTTCCACGTTGTTTCTATTTGTGAGTCAGTAAATTGTTATTTGACCGTTTGGGAATAAAGAAAAGAATTTGTACTAACTCTAGCACCGGTCCATAATGGATTGAGGATATCATCGAAGCTTTCAATACCATATGGATTTGCTGCCTCTGCTAAAGCTGCAATTGCCAAACTGGTCACAGTTCGAACCTTTGTTTGATCGTCATTAAGATTACCACCGATACAATCAACCAAACCTTTTAGATGAGGAAGCACAGCACAACCCATCAAGATAGGGATCTGTTGAACAATCTTCACACCAGTATGTCTTGCTTGCCACGATTTCTTACTTCTACAAACTGCTCGTAAGAAAGGAAGAAGTGCAGGAATACCAAGTGCAGAAGCGACGACAGCAAATGCTCTGGCAGTTGTGTTTCGTACATATTCATCAACATGATCGATATCTGGTCGCATAGTACTGATCATGTGAGCTAAACCGGCAGCTTTACTCAGATTGGAAATGATCTCTCGACCTTCCACTCGAGCGTAGTAGTCTTGATCGATAAGCAATGGTTCGATGACGACCAAAATCTTGTGAACATAAGGCCTGACAAGATCATCAAGTTTGTACAGGATACGATCAATAACCTTGACCAACAAATGGCGCTCTTGATCCTCCAATGTCTTTTCCATGAGCAATGGAAGGATTTGGTTGAATAATGGTCCAGCGCCAAATTGCCTTGCATTGTCCGTAAGTTGACGCAAAGCAGTCTTTCTCATAGGTGGAGTTCCATTCTTGACTTTGAGTAGAAGCCTCATGATCTTCCTTTCTTTAAGTTCTTCGACACTCATAGAATTTTCGTCACTGCCATCTGTGAGCTTTCCGAAATATGCCATATCCTCCGCCTTGAAAAATTGTAAATCTCCCACGCCGGGTATTTCTGTTGGGAGTTGTTTCGCCAATTGTCTTCCGCTTTCTGGGTCTTGCATCATGAACCCGCCAGTAGGCAATGGTGTAGACATGACCTTCTGCGCAATAGTTCGTATTGGGGCGTAACCTGGCGGAGGTTCTAAGATTTTGTAGCCTTCAGATGGTAACATCATGTCGAGCTCCTCATCTGAAAGTGGCGCGTTTCTCGATGATATATCAGTTCCGAATGTAGTTGGTATAGAAGGGCCACCCATTTGTGATGGATGCATTGGTGTTACTAATCCTTGATTGCCCATGGGGGTGGCAGCAGGTGCTTGATCCCATCTAGATCTTCTCCTAGGAGTTTCGTCAACCGCGGCGCCTCCAACAACGGGTGTTTGATCCCATCTCGAACGTTTAGTTTTACCCTCCGCTGATGGTGGAGCCATGCTAGTATCTTCCTCAGTGCCAACATCCCATCTCTTCTTTCTTTTGCGTCCACTTGCGACAGCTTCCGTGGAACCAGCTTCGTCGTTTTCCTTATCACCAGGAGAACCACTACCTTCCTTGATCAGCGTTGCAGTATGGTGGATGACTTCGCCATTCGCCTTCTTTTCCTCAATGGCTTTCCTAACTCTCTCTTCCTCACGCTCAAGTTCTCTTCTAGCCATGACATCTCTGTAGCTTTCAGCATTTCCATCAGCTCTTGTAGGAGTCAAGACTCGATCATGTCGACGTTTTTGGTAATCGGTTTCGCGATCGGAAATTCGTGCACTTTTCTCTCTCCCTAAAAGAATATCTTCCTCCTCGACCCCATTACCCTGCGCGAATTCGTTCATCTGTTCCTTGGAAGCTGTGTATTGGCCTACCAATCTTCGGCTGGTATCAGCTTCCTCCATCTCATCATCATCATCATCTGCCACTGCGATGGAAGTATTATAACCTGCGAATTTATCACCGCCATCGCGCTCATAAAGACTGGTATCGAAGCTTTCTGTTAAGGAGGCCTTGGTGGAAACATCAGTTCGCTGACTTGATGGATCAAATGTCTTCGATCCCTTCTTACCAGCAGAGGCAGCATTCCTCTCAGCCTGTAGCTTCCTGATCGTCTCGAAGTCGGTGTCGGACATGTTGGCGCGTTGTAGTGATGCGCATTGGTGTTTGGATGGGATAATTTTGTATTGATTTTGTAATCGGGAAGGTACCTATTAGCTTTGATAGCCAGCACTAGTTCGTGCTACAAGCCACCCGCCACACGAGGCTAAAGTTTGATGTATGCATCACGTGATAATCAATTGCCTCCAGCTGGTGTCGGTACAGGTCCTTTCCATCAGTGTACAGGGTAAATGCTCACTTGTTATCTGCTCAATGGAATAATTATTATGGCTTCGTAAAATCTTATCCATTTGAAATAAATATACCTACTGTTTGTTCCACGGAGTTCTCACAATAAAATTTGATTGATCCAGGTCGAGAAGTGTAATAATAATAGACAGACAATTGAGAAGGGGAATATGTCAAAGAATCACGCCAGAATCACAAGATATTCAAGATGGTATCAACTCACAAAACAGAAACTCCTAGAAGTTTTGTGGTATGCAATATCGCTCAATTTCAATTTTCGTGTCATACAATCGCCTACCCCAAACTCCCAGTTGTCTTCTATCCTTAACCTTGGACCTTGAAAGTGCGTCCGGTAGCTGTCTTTCTCTCTTTCTCTTCGTTCTCTGGGCGTGCTCTTCTCAGAACTACTAATCGTCAGTAATGTGCAAAATCCACTTTTCAGAAATGAGAGCCTACCTTGCAAGAAGTCTGCGGTACGTGTACGCATTCTAGAGTGAATGTATGCCTAGGAGAAGTTAACACTGAGTCATGAATTGGCCGTGTTTCACGAAAGTACCTTTGATGCTTTGATATGGTAATGGAAGTAATCACGGAAGGTTTGGATGTGGGAAATAACTTCATCTCTTCGTTGAAGCGTGAGGTGACGAGGGAATAAAACTGTATGAATTAGCAGGGTGAAATAGAAGCTCACGATACCACAGGAGAGTATTTGAGCTTACCAAATGTGACATAACCAATATCTCCACTGCCATTGTCCTTTACTCCCGGAACTCCTTGAAGCTCCAATGGCGGGTCGGTTCTGAACAATACTTGAGGGGCGTTTTGGATAGCTCTCCTTCGGGCATCTACGAACTCTTGAATAAAGACCCTTCCGAATACTCTATCTGTCTCTTCGCGGAATACTGTACTGAAGATAACAGTAACTCTGTCGTGACTGGCCTTGATATAAATCGCTTCTTCATCACGGTAATGAATTGCCATAACATCTCCACCTTCTCTGACACCTTGGGGAGCTTCCTCGGATGTGAACTTCGATGCTTCCTCCTGTAATTTGTGGAATTCGGTGAAGGCATGCTCGAATGGCGCAGCCATGGCATTTCGTTTCAATAAGGATATACGTCTAATCAAATCATCTCGGGCTTCTGGAAATACATTGCATCAGCATATGCCATGTATAGTGAATGGCATTCATACCCTTCTCTTCTGGCAGACTTTCTAAATCCACTTGCACCGAGAAATTGTAGCCACTTTCCGGCGCAACGACGTATGGACCATATTCACGCTCGAGAACCTGCTGAGCGCCATATCGGACAAGTTCATCGTAGCATTTGACTTGTATGGAAACGAGAATTTTTGTCTTTGCTTCAGGGGTCGAGATGTGGAAAGTGACACCGTCGAAATCGGCTACAGTTTGGTCAATGTTCACCGGTGGTGCTCTGATCTTGAATTAGTTTTGGCTGAGCGTTAGGATACAGGTTTACACAAACCCTGAAAATCTCTCCGTGAGTACGGATTGAATGAGTACATTTTGGTAATCGAGGAGAAGCATTATGGTGGTGTGTGAGAGACTTGAATTTCCCGTTGTGATGTTTCCAGTACTACTAATGCACTATGGGGAATTAAGCTGCTGCTCTCCTGTTGTGTTGTTGTAGCTCAGGTTGCTGACGACGTGGGGCGGGTGGCTTAGCTTTGGGTACTAAAGCGGCATTATATGTTTGAGAGATCTTGTGTGTAAGTGCTTCGCTTTGCTGCCGCTTTTAGACCCGTGGAACCCATGCTTATCGGTAGCACTAAGGAATTTTATCGCATAGGTCAGAAAAAAAGTTCTGGTTCTCAAACTGCATATGAGTACTTTTGCGCCAGTTTATAAATATGGTTAAATCTTACTTGTAAGTCCTCAAAATGATATATGTCAATGAGCAATTACTGACCTGCTCACTTCTAGGAAATACGAGCATTCGAAATCATTCGGTCTTGTCAATTCGAGTACTTCAAATGTTGTTTGGTCAACAGATGGAGCCGGCGTCTCGAGTCGAAATACAGGTTCGGGAAGAGCTATAGTGGCTGCCAATGAGGAGGTATTATGCTGGGAAATAAAGACGGGTGCACTTCTGAGTAGATGGAGAGATAATGAATGTAAATCTCAAGTTTCAGCCATCGCCCAGAGTAAAACAGACATAGACATTTTTGCCGTCGGATACGAGGATGGTAGTATACGACTATGGGACTCGAAAATTGCAACTATTCTAGTCAAGTTCAACGGGCATAAGTCTGCGATTACTACACTAGCATTCGATAAATCTGGAGTCCGGCTAGCTAGTGGTTCGAGAGATACGGATGTTATCGTATGGGACCTGGTTGCTGAGGTTGGCTTGTTCAAATTGAGAGGACACAAGGATCAGATAACCGGACTCCAATTCATTCAACCCGGCGCGCCACAGGAATCTGGTGAAGACGAAGAAGTAGTTGATGTGGAGGACAGTTCATCTGAAGGCTTCCTTCTCACCACCGGCAAGGATGCGCTCATCAAACTCTGGGATATGACATCTCAACACTGTATCGAAACTCATGTCGCTCAAACGAATGGAGAATGCTGGGCTTTAGGCACCTCACCGGATGGTAGTGGGTGTATCACGGCTGGAAACGATGGGGAAATGAAAGTGTGGTCTATTGATACAGCCGGTCTATACAAATTATCGAAACAGGTGAACGGTGCAGTTGAAGCTCGATATCTCCAAGGTAGAGGAATATTGCATCGACAGGGAAAAGATAGAGCACTCGAAATCACTTTTCACCCACGCTTAGACTACTTTTCGGTTCATGGTTCGGAAAAGTCTGTTGAAATATGGAGGATACGATCAGAAGAGGAAGTAAAGAAAAGTTTAGCAAGAAAGCGCAGGAGAAGAAGAGAAAAGTTGGCTGCAACTGAGAAGTCAGCTATGGAAGTTGACGAAGTGGATGAGAAAGTCGAAGACGTTTCAACTGCTGATATCACAGACTTTTTCGTCCCGTACGTCATTGTTAGAACGGGAGGTAGAGTTCGATCCATAGATTGGGTACGCATTAAAGGCACCAAATCTATACAATTGCTCATAGCAACTTCGAACAATCAATTGGAGGTCTACACAGTAGTCACAAAAGAGAAGAGTAAGAAATCCAAGAGCGAAGAAATGCCGGATTATTCAAGAACACTATCGGTCGAAATGCCAGGACACAGAGCAGATATAAGAGCGTTGGCACTGAGTTCCGACGACAAAATGTTGGCATCAGTATCTAATGGTGGTATCAAAATCTGGAATGTTCGCAAGGGAACTTGTATACGAAGTTTTGAGTGTGGCTATGCTCTATGCTGTGCATTTTTGCCGGGTGATAAAATTTTAGTAGTTGGAACCAAATCCGGGGAACTGGAGTTATTCGATGTAACTGCGACTGCAATGATCGAGAGTATAAAAGCACATGAAGGTGCCATTTGGAGTTTACAAGTACATCCAGATGGTCGCTCTGTGGTATCCGGAAGTGCAGACAAGTCAGCCAAATTCTGGAATTTCGAAGTTATTCAGGAAGAGATTCCCGGAACCACACGGAAAACCCCAAAACTACGACTTGTCCATACTAGAACATTGAAAGTGTCAGATGATATTTTGAGCTTGAGATTTTCACCAGACGCACGTCTGTTAGCTGTGGCTCTCCTGGACAATACTGTTAAGGTTTTCTTCGTCGATTCTCTAAAGCTCTTCCTAAATTTGTATGGTCACAAGTTGCCTGTACTTAATATGGATATTTCTTTTGATAGCAAGCTCATTGTTACTTGCTCTGCTGACAAGAATATACGTCTTTGGGGTCTCGATTTCGGAGATTGTCATAAAGCGTTCTTTGGACATCAGGACAGTATTTTACAAGTCGCATTTATTCCACATAGTCAAGACGGCAATGGGCATCATTTCTTCAGTACTAGTAAAGATAAAATGATCAAGTACTGGGATGGCGACAAATTCGAACAAATCCAAAGATTAGATGGTCATCACGGTGAAATCTGGGCTTTGGCAGTCAGTCGGACTGGTGACTTTTTTGTCAGTGCAAGTCACGATAAAAGTATTCGAGTGTGGGAACAAACTGACGAGCAAATATTCCTTGAGGAAGAGAAGGAGAAGGAGTTGGAAGAGTTGTATGAATCAACTTTGACAACATCTCTGAATCCTGATAAGAACGATGAAGATGACGATAATGAAGTTGGAGCCGCTGGAAAACAAACGACCGAGACTCTCATGGCTGGAGAAAAAATTGTCGAAGCCCTTGAGATCGGTACTGTCGATTTGGAACTAATGGCTGAATATGAACTCGCCAAAGCCACTAATCCTAATACAGCTCCTCCAGCCCGCAACCTTCTTTTCATGGCTCTCGGCAATATCAGTGCCGAAAGACATGTTCTCAATACTCTCCAGAAAATCAAAGCCGCAGCTCTTCACGACGCATTGCTCGTTCTTCCATTCTCCACTCTCCCCATGCTCTTCACATTCTTGAATATTTTCGCCCAAAAAGAGATGAACATACCACTTACATGTCGAATATTATTCTTCATGTTAAAGACACATCAAAAACAGATCGTTTCAAGTAAAACTATGAGGACGATGTTAGATGGTGTTAAGGAGAACTTGAGAAAGAGTTTGAAGAGACAGAAGGATGAGATGGGATTTAATTTGGCAGCTTTGAAGATTACGGGAGAGAGAGTCAAGGATATGGGGACTAAGGATTATGTGGATGAGGAGACTTGGGAGGAGGACGATGGATCGAGCAAGAAAAAGAGAGGATTTGTTCAAGTTTCTTAGGATGTTTGAATTTAATTTCAGCAATTTGTTGGTATAGATTTAGGGGGACATTAAAAATGTAAGATGTATAAATTATGGTCAAAATGATACTGTGGTAGGAAAGTTCAATGGCACTCAGTTGCATAACCATCAACTGTAGAAAAGAATGAGATGCCTTATACCATTCCGGATCGCAGCCAGGTGTTTGCAATTCTCAAAGCAAACGACTCAAAATACGCATTTGCAAGGAGCCCGAAAAAGAAGGGGAATACTTCAAGCTGAACTTTGTGAGAATATCTAGTTGCTTCTCATGAAAAAAGCTGAACCCTATTCCTAACAACAATGAAAATTGTATAATATATATGGCTTCGATCAGTATCGACGGAAGTTTTAGATATGCACTCCATTGCGATAAAACTTGGAATATTCACACCTAATTGTTTCATTCATTTCTGGACAAGCATACCGTATTGTTCTATTTCATCTTGAACGTTCATGACTGTTCTGTAGAATCTTCATCCCTATCAAGTCGAAGGAGATAGTTCTCTGTCAGTCTTCATTCCTCAGGGATATTTCGACGAAGTGTTTCTTTGAAGTTCGAATGATCTAGATTTATGACAATTGTTACCAGAGGACGTGTGCCAAAATGTCTTTCTTTTCCTTTCCAAGCCTAACACATATATCTACTTTTGTGTTTCAGAGCAAAACATAAAGAGAAAGCAGAATTAAAAAAATGGCAGCAGTCCGTAAATCGCGTAGAATAACAGTATAAGGAAAAGGGATATCATTTGATTTCTTCCCATCTACAACTCCAACACCTCATTTCACCCCTAACGAAAATGTCATCTTCAGCCCCTTCCCGTACTCCAGTCCTACGTCTCCGTCCGCTTTCTGAATCTGACAATCCTTCTCGAGATTCCATACACGCTAACGTCGCTAGGGATGTCGCAAGATATTACAAGAAAGCAGGATCAGCATCGAGTCCTATCTCTGTCGATATTGGGCCAGCGTATCACCCACGATTTAACCACCGAAATTCCTGGGAACTAGAGTCTCCCAAGACATCCGAACCCAATTCACCAACCGACTCATCTTTTGCTTCTCCTATTGAAAGTCGCCCTTCCTCTCCGGTTGGATCTACGGGTAGTATGGTTACTCACGCCTCGTCTCAGACGGACAACTCATCGACAGAATCTGAAGAGGCTGCCCCGAGAGACGACGAATCAATTAAAGAGCGAGACGAAGCAACGGAACGCAGCTCCAATCTCCTTGAGCAACTGTTGATGGAAAAGTCAAAAAGCTTGATTTTAGAAAAGGAAAGAGATGACGCAATTCTCAGTGCCGCAGAAACCAAGACGAAGTACGAAATGATAGAGAAGGAAAACGATGATGCCAAGCGAGAATTGTGGGAGACACGGTATCAGCTGACGAAATTGGAGAAGAGGAAGACGAGTCTTTTCGCAGGCGAGAAAATAGCGTTGGTGCAGGCGGAGAGGGATCAAGCTATTTTACAAGCAGAGGCGAGTTTGAAATTGCAGAAGCAGGCGGAGAAAGAAAAGGATGAGGGAAAGCAACTCATAGCTGAAGTCACAGAATGGCAGAACAAGAAAGTGGCGGAGATCAATGAAGCGAGACGAGTCGCAGCCAAGAGATTTGAAGATATGGAGTTGGCAGAAAGAGAAAGAGATGATGCATTGCAGCTTGCATCTGAGAGATTGAGTCGAATGAACGATGCACAACGAAATGCATTGGTGAGATTGAAAGAGATGCAGTTGGCGCAGGAGGAAAGAGATGTAGCCCGACAACATGCAGCAGAGAGTTTGGGAAAGTGGATTCGCTTGGAACAAAAATATGAAGAAACAAAGCACGAAGCCCATTTGCTGCGAATAGAGATAGAGAGGATGAAAGAGGAGAAGAAGGGACGAGGTTACTGGACATATTTCCTTGGTGCACTGTTTGATTAAGAGTATTTTGGGAAACTGTGCTCATGCTTTACTTTTTTTTTTTGCGGGTCTTGTTGCATAGGTCTTGAGGGTTTTTGTCACTCACTTAGCGAGAATTTCATTATACTCTTCCAAGGGCATCTTAATTCGCGCCCAATAGAATGATTTTGTTGTATTTCTCATGATTCGATAACTATTTCGACGTTTTTTTTTTGGCGGTGAAATCAAGTATCGAAGTCAACCTGTACCTGTACCTGTTAAAGTCAATGTGTCGCGATTGGCCAAGACAATAATTCTAGATTCTCAAAGAGGTTTCATGTATGATCCTGAAATTTCATGAAGCTGCGTAGATATATCTAGAACTTTTCTTATTAAACATTCTTCTCATTCTCCACACAATCCTCAAGATTCTATAATGCACTTCTCAACAATCTGAAACAACAACACAACAACACAACAACACAACATCTATTCATAATTTCATTGAGACAACACATACTCAACTCGTATAAAGACCCTCGATGAGTCCTCATTGTTTCCTATTGCATGCTTCTCAGCACTCTCTATCAAACATACATAAGTCAAAAATTAATCGCAATGCCAGTCACAAACCCAGTTCCAGTCTCGGGCTCAACCCAACCTCCCGCGACAACTTTGAAACCAACTTCAACATCGTCATTGACAGTCGTTGCTGTTCCAATACCAACAACAGACACGGAGACCTCAGTAGCTCAGCTGTCAACCACGATACCATTTGTACCTCGGCGATGGCGATCCCTAGATTCGACTACAGGTAATATCGACAATGGCCGTGATGTAGAGAAACAGAGATTAGAAAAGTTTGATGTTCTTCGCCGAGAGATCTATTACGTAGAGCAAGAATTAAAAGGCGCGGAGACAAGAATATTGAAGCTTCGAGATGAGCTATATGCGTTGCACGAATTAGATTGGAGTATTCAACGTATGGAAGATTTCTTGGGAAAATTAAAGGGGCGGAAGGGAAAAGAAGAGGACCAGGGAGAAGAGAATGGAGAGGAAGCTGAGGGTGGTGAATCTTTGCAAGGAGAAGGGGAAAGAGATGGTTGAATAGCTGGAAGGAGTGATGGGTAAGTAGATATATCTTCTGTAATAGGAAGATGAGATAGGAGTACAGTCAAAGAGTCTACTTGTGCTACATGCCATACCATCTTTTTCTCGATGATTGAAAGAAGAAATTTGTAATATTCACTCTTTTCCAAATAATGAAATTGGTCGTGCAATGAGATAGTCTTGATGATTGATTTGATTTGAAACAACGAATTCACGATGTCGATGATAGTACCTCCAAAATCTTCAAATTAGAATCATAAAACAGACTTTAGTCCGGACCACTGGAAGCACTGGGAATTTGTATGGAGCCAAAACTATTAGAAACCTCGAGTAGGTATTTCTATAGAAGTCTGAAAAAATATGAATAATATACAATGACTATAACCAGCACCATCTTGCACGTATGGACAGCCAAACCCATCACCATAGCTAATAATCTCCAAGCCCCCCTTCTGTATGTCACACTCCCATCATACAATCCAACGACCTCCTTGTCTATCATCTCAACCCCTCGAAGAAGGAAGTTTGAATCCACCCCAGTTCAAACGCGAAAATGCACCCAGAGGATCATATTTCTCCCTAATAGTGATCATCTTCTCCACATTCTCCGCTGGCATTGTAGAAAATGGATTTTGCCATCCTCCAGCATCACCCATATAGATGAAATCTGTTTCTTCACTCGATACATTGTTCTCAATTGCAAAGTTATGGATTTCTCCTATGACTTTTTGGATCCATGTTGTCATGCGGAGGTCATCTTGTGCTAAATCCCAACCGGTGCTCATTTGCCACCCTTTTTTGATGTTAGTATCTCTTCAGATTGAATAAGAAGTTTTAAAAATGAGGAGAAGTAACTTACAGATACCGGATTCAGTGTCATCTCTTCCCCACACATTGCCAATACCATTGGTCTTTGCAATCGTGTTGGCGCTTTTAGGATCAAGATTTGTGACCAAAGTTGGGTAGAAACCAACAACATCTTCAACATCCTCGACTGCGGCTTTCCACATTTGCCACATTTGATAGAGAACAGTTCCATTTGGCTTCATAAAATGAACAGCAAATTCGACCCTGAAGTCATACATTAGCAGTGATCATTTCATGGCAGATTGTGTGAACTTTACCGGAACATTTGAAGAGGGGAGTCGAGTTGTTTTGCAAAAGTAGCCATTGAAGAAACATTATTTATAGATTGCAATGCCGTAATTGCTGTAAAGTTTTCGAATCTAGATGGTGGGCTTTCGGTTCCAGCTTGAACACCTATGAGGGATGCTGACATAGCTCCTGTAGTAGCATTGTATGTAGTAGTGATAACTGCTCCAGCTGCAATCGAAGGATCGTTGTTTGCAGCTAAATCACAGGTCGCATGAAGGAAAGCTTCAATTCCACTTTCGTCGAATACCTGAATCGTAGTGCTGACGAGAGGGATATCGAATGTGTTGAGTGTGAATTTGGTAACGATACCGAAGTTATTGGCACCACCTTTTAATGCCCAGAAAAGATCGGGATTGCAATCTGCGGATGCTTTGACTTGAGTACCATTTCCAAGAACAACATCATAGTTCACAACGTTGTCCATTGCATATCCATACTTATTGTTGAAGTAATGAACGCCACCGATGAGAGTAAGACCAGGAACACCAATGGTTTTAAGACGACCACCAATGACAATACGACCATAAGGTTCGAGATAAGAATAGACATCGTACCATCTATTACCTGGACCAACATCCACGGTGGTATTATCGGCGGAAATCTGAAGGTCATTAAGGCCAGCAAGAGCTACCATTACACCAGCATTGATATTGTTGGCTCCAGGGAACTATAAGAACGTCAGCGGAAGATCGCTAACCTCAAATGTTTACTTAAAACTTACATTCATATGACCTCCACCACGAACAGCAAATTGAGCGTCACAAGTACTGATGATTCCTACTCCTGCTGCCACTTGATCGGCATTTATAGGGCTGAAGATACAAGCCGGATCTGCATTAGTTCTGATATCCCATGCCTCAAGATTGTAGTAAGTATAGTTTGAGGTATTTGGGAAGTATAGATACTCGGGATAACTGGTTGAGAGTTGAGAGCATGCACACGCTGAAGCTTCCGAATAGGTAAAAGTTCCATAATCAGTCGTTACAGTTGTACCAGCAAGGAGGGTTGAAACATTAGAAGCTGCGTAAACAGCTCCTGCGAAAGTAGATCCTGCAAGTAGCAAGGAAAACATGATGAAGATGGAGAAACTCGGTTGAAGAAAGTGATAGACTGAAAGATAAAATTGTGTGCTGGTGTGATGAATGAGGGAGCCGATTAGAAGTTTCTTATATATTTCCTTCTGAGAGCATGCACATTACTTTCCATTACGAGTTTTCTGTCTAATAATACCCAGGGCCACCTTCCAAGACCAGAAATGATGGCTATGTACTAGACTGACAGGATGTTCTACTCAGATCTTTTACTCAAATTGCTTTCGCATCCCCTCGCATCCTCGCATTCTCATATTGAGGCGCATTACGTTCAAGTTAGCAAATAATAAAATAACGAACCATCAATCCAAATTGATGAATAGAATACAGAGAACAACCCCCAGAAAATGGATCATAATTGACCAGTTGATATGCATCGTATTCGGACTGACGCATAGAAGATCACTAGTCAGGAGAATATCGGAGGATTCGCACCTTTGGATATGGTCCGAGCTGACCGTCCTTTGACGTCGACGTCTGATCATTTAAAGATATATCTGGGGATGACTACCATCTTGCCACCTTAAAGTTTCGATGTTGAATGTGTCAGTTTGATTATAAATTTAGAAGCAATTTTGATGTAACGTGGAAGATTCAATGATAATGCCACAAGGAAATAGTCAGTCAGACAAGAGTCAGATTATGCATAGTCTACCAAGTAGTGTTGTACTTTTGATAGAACTATCACATCAAGGATAAAATAAAAACAAGTCATCAAGTATGGTTCAATAAAACTCTATAGTCCTATTAGTTGTGGCATTTTTCGATATAGTACTAAGTCATTAGTTTATATCCGCTTGAGAAGTATACTTCCATTCGCTTCAATCCAGACGACACCCCATCAATACCTGTTCTTCTTTTGATGTTCTTTTGATGTTCTTTAGGACATAGAAAGATCACTATGACCTGATACCATGTAAATACAATTGATATGATCGTCGTATGACAACCCTATTACCGGGTAGTGGACAAATAATCTGCAATTAGATCATCGTGTCATGAAAACTCAATGCTCAGTCTACCGAAATACCAAGGTCTCGGTATCGAGCGGAATAAACCCAGAGAGGTACAATAAGGGATGGCTCAGTGAGTGGATACACATGCAAATGTACAAGGTAGTTAGTAGGTATGCTCAGATTTACTTCTTCACCCCTATCACTGTCGTGGCTTTAAACTTCAGGTTATCCGATCTTTCGGATAAGGCTGAGATGGGAAATCTCGACCATCAAGGTTCACCAGTGGGTGCACGGACTCACGGGATAGTCTGTATAGCTTCAAAAAACCCAAAATAAGATAACATTATAATTAAATAACTAATGACTATTATAATTTTGATTATATATAGCTTTCATTTGTATTAATCATAATTCTATATTTACCAAATAATTCTATATATCTTTTTTGAATTTCCTTTTATATAATTTTATTTTATTTGTTTTATATAACCTTCTTTAATTTATTCAATATTTTTTATTTTTTTTTTGAATTTATTATTTTAATATATTCCAAATATCCTTTATTAGATTTAAATCAAATGAATTAAAAAGATAAAATAGATTTTCAATATTATATATATTTCTAAATTTTTATACAAAATTATATTTAATAAAATTATAAAAATTATTACTATCCTTTATTAAAAATTATTTATATATAAAATCTTTTACTTATAACGTGTTTTATTAGTGTGCGGGTCATATCAGTATGCGGGTTATTTCGAAAACCATCTAAATCAAGTTTTCTAAAATATTAATATTTTAATAACTAATCATTATTTTTTTGAACAAAAGATCTTAAAAAAAAAATTAAAATCTAGGTTTTCTATTGATCTAGTTTTTATAAAATAATTTCATTGTTTTCTAAAAGAAAAAGGAAATTGTTACGATTTTCATTACAAAAAAACTATTTTTATAATAACAACTTTATAAACTCGAATTTCTTAAAATTAATTAGATTTTTAAATTCTTTATATATTTAAATATTTTGTATCAAATTTTCAGAAAATTATATCTATAAATAAAGAAAGTGTATGGTTATGTATAGACGAGTTTTATATGTAAAATAAGTGATCTGCGTACTGATATGATCTGCACACTGATAAAACACGTTAATCTTTCAATTGCTTTTATATAAATTAAAAATAATTATTTAATATAATATTCCTAAATTATAATATTATTCTAAAACTTAATATTCTTAAAATATAACTTTTTAGTTTTTTATATACAAATACACTCCTTATAAGAATTATAATTTTCAATTTTGAAATATATTCTAAATTTAGATTTAGATTTAGATTTATCTATATAACGTGTTTTATCACCGAGTGGATCATATCACCGAATGGATCACTCAATTTACATACAAAATTCGTCTGTGTGTAACCGTGCACTTTATTTATTTATTAATAGAATTTTTTAAAAATTTAATATATAAAATCTGATTAAAAGCTTATTATGAAAATCTAATTTTTTTTCGAATATTCAAGTTAGTATAAGAATTATTATAGAAATAGTTTTTTCGTAACGAAAATCGTGATATTTTCGAATTTTTATCGAATTTAATAAAGAAATTTATATAAAAACTAAATTTCTAAAAAGCTAAATTATTATTATTATTTTAAATCTTTCAATTTTTAGAAATAATAATTAATTATTAAAATAAGAATATTTAAAAATAGTTAATTTTGATGTATTTTCAAATAATCCATTCTATGATATAATCTACTCGGTGATAAAACACGTTATTTCTCCTTATTATAATAGAATTCAAAATTTTCAGTTTTTTTCTTAAAAACAATTTATATTTTATAATAGATTTTATTATTTTTTAATAAGAAATATTTTATTATATTTTTTAATTTATATTAAATTCTAATTTCTTTTAGAATTTTTTTTTTTTTATAGAAATAGGATTCATATATATTTCATTTATATATATAACATATTTCCAAAATCCTTTTATAATATTATATTTATATATATTATTAAATATAATATGTTTCCTATATTATTGACTATTAATATATTTTTCTAAATAAATAGTTTTATAATATTAATTTTGATTTATAAATTTCTTTAAATTTTTCTATAAAAAGTATTATTTAATTCTTAATTTGAAATATTCAATTATTATTTTATAAGATTTGGTTTATAATTTATTTCAAAAGGATAAAACAAATATTTTATAAGTAATCTTATTAATTGATATAAATTCCTCTAGATTCTTTAAGAGTTTATAAATTTGCTTATAAATTTGTTTTTTTAATATATCCTTTTTTAAAAATTATTAATAATTTATAGAATTTGATATATTTAATTGGATAGAAATGGAGTATATATTTTCTTTTATATAGTATTAATTAAATTTATTGAAAAAGTATGATTTTTTTAATAAATTATATTTTTTATATAATTTTTTATTAATAAGAGTAGTTTTATATTTAATTGATTATATATTAAATGGCATTTTGAAGTTGAATTGATTATATATATTTTGAATTATTTATTTCGAGGTTATTTTCAAAAAACGCGTGTTTCGTGAGTTCGTGCACTTATTGGTGGTTAGATGAAAGATTTGTTCGATAGTATAAAGGGATGGACAACTTCTCGCTCCAACACAACCGAAAATCTATACAACAGACATATTAGTACGGGCAATGCCTGGTGTGCTCAAAACCTAGATCAAATGAATGCAACACTCTATTGCTCTCCTTTTATCAGCTATTTAACCGTTTTGTCTATTACCACAATACAATACATTATTTCAGTACTTGAGAATTTCCGCTCTATGATAGTAACTCAAGATTTGGTGTATACAATTATACAACTCCATCTACAGCCAAGATTTTATTCTGAACCCCTAAAAGCTTGAAGTCTTAAAATCATACGTGTTAATCTTCCAAATTCTTTTCTACCCAGGGGTATCCAAGAGTCCGAACTGCAGCTCGACAACCGAAAGCTTTCATCGTTTGGATCTATTCAAATCATTCATTCTCATAATTTGAGATACCCGAATAAAATCACCTCGTACATTACATTTTTTCAATCTTTGAATCCATTCCGGAAGGTCAGGAATTCTGTTTGTAACTCCAAGAGTCTCTATCTAGGTGCTTGTGTGAACATAGTCCAGACAATCAGGAACTCTCACCATTCTCATATCCAACCCTCAAGCCTCGAATCTCCGAGTAGCTCTCACGATGTAATCATCTGATCGTACGCCTCATCTTTATCCAACCCCCAATTCCCAACGTGAAAATCAACAAGTGTCAAAGCATTATAATGTTGTAATTCACACAGGACCAGGCAACATAGCCAATATCGCACAATCACAAAGTCATCATGAGCAAATTTGAAGAAGAAACCATCGCAGAAATAAACGAATCATGGAAGAAGACAATCCGAGCACTCACTCACCCCAGATACCTTTCATTCCAACCCCCTATATTCAAGCGAACAAAACATATATATAAGTTACTCGCTCGATAAACAATCACACCACATCCTCGTCACCATCTCAAAAGTATTAATCATTAATCATCAATCACAAATCATCAATCATCATTATTCAAACAAACAACAAAAAACCCATTACATCTCAATGCCAATCTCCATAACCATCATCAACACCATCACCATCGCGTTCCCAGAACACCAATATAGATATTCTCCGAATACAATCTTGAGCTTAAACCAAATCCCAAATCTCAAATCCCAATCGATCATCAGAAATTCCTCAGTATCAAAAGTCTCACTGCACAAATATATCAATCTCCATATCACATATCACACATCACACCACAACAATCTCGCTTTATATCGCCCCCTCCCTCAAGATCAAAATCAAATCATCTTTCCTCCTTCCCGTCTCCATCCCCTCTTCATCCCCTTCCCCCAGAAAACTCAAGGAATAGGCGCCACAAGCAACCCCGCACACTTCGCGCTACAAACCCCAAACGCCGTATTGCACGCCACGATGGTCGCCGGGGCCGTCGCTCCCAGCGTCGCGCCCCACTATATGTATTTTCTCCCATTAGCATGTGTGTGTATATCTGTTCTATATTTGAGTTATAACTGAGTTACATCTGCATCTCCATCTGTGTATATCTTCCCAACCTTGGATAAAAAATAATGATAATAAAAAAGATACAAAAAAAGAAAAGGAAAAGAAAAGAAGAGAAGAGGAAAAGCAATAAGATGAAAAAAAAACCCCCCCCGAAAAAAAGAACCTCATACCGTTGCACCCCCCGCCCCATAACAAGCCATCACTACGGCCGCACACCCACTCTGACAAACACCATACGCGACCGGTCCTGCTGTTGCGATGCCCGCAAGGACTGCGACTGTGATGAGAAAGGTGGATGATGGCGATGGATTCATATTTCAAGGTATTCTTATTTCGTTTTCGTTTTTGTTTTCGTTTTCGTTCTTGTTCTTGTTCTGGGTATTGAGTTGAGATGATATATTCGGAAGGATAATTTGTATGGAAGGATGATAAGAACAAAAACAATCGCAATAAACTAATCAAATTCAAAATCAATAGAACAAACCACTACTCACCAATACAGCACTTTATATACATCCCCCCCCCTCTTCCTCGTACGCCTTACCCCTCTTTTACTTCCATCTCCATCTCCATTTCCATTTCCACTTTTACTCTCACGCCTCACCTCGCCACACCTAGTTAACCTTGGAACCTTCTTCTTGACCTCCTCACACCATCTATCATCCAATCACTAATCACCGATCACCATCCCATCTCATTCCATCCCATTCCATCCCATTCCATCCCATTCCATCCCATTCTCTCATTTTCCATCCCCATCCCCATCCCCATCCCCCAGAAACCACCAGAACATCTATCTAATATCCGAGGTTGCACAACATCGCAGATCGCAAATCATATATCGCAAAAGCGCACACACACGTATACATGCATTTGCATACCTATCTATGTATATGTACGAGGCTACCCGACCTACATAACACTTCACAGCACTCCGTACAAAAACCACCAACCACCACCCTCCAATATCCCAAGCCACGTGTGATAATCCGAGTGAATGAATGAATGAGTGACCAACCGATCGACCGATTGACTGACTGTGAAATAGTTAGACAGTATGAGAGATATCTATCGATCACGAATTTTCGTCAATATAATATCAAGACTGGAACAATATATATATTTATACGCTATGCAGTGTTGGGCATCTGCAGCATTATGACGATGCGAAGTGAAAAATTGATAGGTAACGAAAATGCTGTGCTCTATCTCGATTTGTCCATCATATGTATATCATTCCACCCGCGATCCTATAACGCCATAAGCCAAGCCAAGCCAAGCCAAGCTAAGCCAAGCTGAGCTGAGCTGAGACGAGAGAAAAAGAAGAACAAAAGATAATAATCGCTAATAAGGAAACTTATCCAAAGTTCACGAGAACACCTACTCATCATCTAACCTATCCCATATCCCTATCCCCATCCCTACCCACCTTATCAACAACAAAATCAACTCAACTCCCACGCCGCAACCCCTGCAAATTCCATCGCACAGTTCCCCTTCTTCCCCTCATAGTCTCTCTTCGTCATTCCCCTAGCATCCTCTCCATCAACAACCGTAACCGCATACAAACTAATCGTCTGACCTCTCACACCCAATTCCTTAACTCCCACATCTACCCACCACCAAAACCCATCAAAATCAAACGGCACCATATCATCATTTCTTCCATCGACTCCTCCTATCTTCAAAACTAGACAATAAGGTTTACCAAGACCATTTCTTTCAAAGTCGAAATGTTCACAGACTTTTGAGAATTGAAATCGCATCATTCCGTTGGATGTGGATGTGGATGAGGATGGGATGTATTTTTGAGGTGGTGTAATTGAAGTTTGTGAGATACCATGATCTTCTACAGAACCGAAAATCTGTAATGGTTCACCACCAATGTTTCCAATAAAGTATTCTTCCCACGTCAAAACTCTTCTATCTTTTCTGAAGAAATGTGACTTATTGGCTGGAAAATGTTTCAAGCCAAATTCTTCATTCGACATGGTGAAGTAGGAAGAGATCAAATTTTTGTTGTACATTTGATTATCTCCTAATTGTCCGGAACCCCAACAAGCGTCAATTAGCTTCCATTCCCCTCCATCGATACGTACTGCATTCCAAGCATGACCGCCAGGATTAGGTGGTGGACAAGATTCTCCTGGTCTAAGCGGCGTATAACCAAATCCTTTTCCGTGACCAGTTACCATGATAGCTTCGAGTCCTGCTTTAAGTGCAATAGCTGTGAAGAGACCAGCATATCCACCACAGACAGCTAATCCAGTTTTGATAGTATCGGCAGGTGTAACATTTTTGACTCGGTTCCCGAAAAAAGCACCAGTATCATAAGCGATGTTATGATGAAGCCAAACGAAGATAGCACGAGCTTTATCAGTGGGCGAGCTGAAAGGACGACAAAGAACATCAGCAAGATATCCTGTATTATCAGGGGATCTTGGAAGGAATTCCCGTGAATATTTTGACGCAATTTGATCCGGACCAGAAAAGTCTCGACACAAAAGACAGCCCTGTGATGAAGGAGATAATGTAGTTGGAGCAGCACTTACAGCTTTTACTTGAGCCGATGTTGGCTTGGATCGAAGGTTAACAGGTGGTGGTACTCCTCCCCCAGGTTTTGGTGCATCAGATGGCGAGATTCCCGTCTTCTCAGTCAAGAACTTTGTCATAGCGTCCGTTTTTCTCATATATTGATACTTTTCCGGATTATCTCCATTTCCGTCAAAGAACATGATGGTCGGATACCCTTCAATACCATATCTTGCCAAGAATGATTTATGTGCATCAACATCAACTTTTGCAATCACAATTCTGTCGGAAGCAAATGCAAAATTCTCGGCAAGCTGTTTATAATGTGGATCCAATTCGACACAATACTTGCAATATGGAGCATAAAAGTCCACAAGAGCAAATTTTCCAGAGAGAATAATACGATCAAAATTGTTAGCATTCAATTCTTGAACAGCGGGACCAGGAGGCCTATTATATGTAGGTGTTGGTCCTGGTGATGGGTTTGGTGTTTCGGTAGATTTGTTACCAAATCCCAGTGATAGAACAGAACGAGTTTGAGATGGAGGTGGTAATCTTCGCGGTGGTGGAGAGACTGAATTCTCATCTTCTACGTTTGCAATGGGTCTAGGAGGCATTTTAGGTGGGCCATTTGATCTTGATGGCAATTTGGGTGGCAATTCACGTTCAACGACTGGAGGTTGTTTGAGAATAACTGGAGCTGACTTGGTCTGTTTTTAAAAGTGTTAAATTTGTAATTATAAAGAGGTTGAGAACTAGGAGAAAAGTTGAGATGAATATGCCTGGAATTCTACGTCCACCCTGAAATAGAACAAACTTTGATGATGAGATCGCCCGCCCAAAACCAAGACTAGAAATAGTACTAGAAATACTTACAGAAACGAGAGGGAATTTAGCCTTCTGCTCTAACCTTGCCTTCTCTTGTAATTCCCTTCTTGAAGGTGGCAGGGGTGGAAGTTTTGCCATATCCAATGGAGGAGGTAGCATCCTTCCATCTTTTGATCCTACAGATGTTATTGAAGATGCAGGTCTGCCATAACTATTCAATGACATGGCCGAGACCGTAGACATTTGTGAAATGGTCGAATCCCCCGAATCTCTCCTTGCCAATTGTGTAGAAGTAGATGCTCGTCTTGGTGGCAGATTTGGAGTTGAGGCTTTTCTCGTGGGTAATGGAGGAGGTGCATTTCGAGCTGGAAGAGCAGGACTTTTGGAATTATTAACTGGGGCATTGCCATTGACTGGATCCGATTTGGCTTTTGTGCCAAGTGGTTCATTGAAAGGTTTCTGGCTAACAGAAGAACCATATGCGACAATTGGGGGATTGTTGGCAGTCTTTGGTCTTGTAGGAAGAGGAGGTCTATCGGAACTTGGAATAGGAGGTGGTGGAGGCCGTTTGGCTACTATCAAAGTATTATTCGGAGGGGCAGAGTCCCCCGCTTGTTGTTGCTTCAATGCAGCAATACGTTGCGCGAGGGTGGTAAACTGTGGTTCTTCAACATCGGCCATGATGTGCGATACAATTGTAGTGACTTTTCAGACCTTGGGTAAACGCGAGATTGTATGTAGTAGCCAAGAAAACAGAAGGAATACTTGTTGAAGGTTGGGGCCAGTATATTGCCGAAATGATTCACTTGATGTATGCTGGGTGTCACAACGAATTCGAAGCGCGAGAACGACAGTGAGATGGATATTGGATATTAAAAGTCTGGGGGAAAACGAAAGACTTATGATATAAACATTAGGACGAAGTTTTCGAAATCAGGATTTAACTATTATCGAAGGATTCATGACAACTGATGTAATGTAAAGAATGGAAATGAAATACCTCAGCACAAGGCTGTGGTGCGGCACAGTTAAGTAATTATGTATGTGATAATGGAAGATCTTCAAACTGAGCTGTTTAAAGTGGTCGACGAAATTTTTGATTGGGTAAAGCAAGCTAAGGCAGACTTGGCAGGGACCAGAAGTGGAATTCTGAGAAGTCCCATCTCTCCATATCTCCGCAGAAAATTGGATTATAATATATTTATAGATTTATAAGGTTTTGCTTACTTGCTTTTGGATGATATATAAGGAAATACGAGTAGCCATCTAAATATTGTATTAGAATGTTTTAATTGGTTTTACCAAATTCAATAGTGTCCCAATTTATGAGATTGATTTAGCTACAGAATCATCGGATTAGATGGTAGTATTTATCTATCTAGACAGGTATGTATGTATGTGTGTATATGTGTATGTATAGAAAAGTTACTCTCCATACAAATTGATACAATAGAAGTCATATACGCTACATTCGTTACATTCGAGCGTAGCGAGCTATGGGGGTTTGGGGACTTGCCCCCATAATAGTAACATAATTCTTCATTCAATCGAAAGTTAATTACAATTATATTCATGAAGAGAATGACGCTCCGCTGGCCCTCCGGGAGCCACTGCCGTGGGGGCAGAATATCAGGGGATGGAAATACCTTCTACTAAGAATTTTGGTAAAGTGTTTGATTAAGAAAGATATAAAATTGAGAACCTATGTCCTTCGATACCCAGACAGACTATAGCCACCCATAACTCCTTTGCATTTGATAAATAGCCTCATCCATACACCTGAATCCCTTGTACCCATTGCATACAGTATGCTTCCAAGACAGGTCCAGCCAGCCCAATACGCCGATTATGTAGTTGTACAGAACTCCGATCCGATTTTCGAATAATGAATGTTAAATATGCCTGCCTGGTCCTCGAGATACTCCCAATCGTGTAGTTCGACTTCATTTCCATTGTCGAATCCGTGCTGCAGTATGCCTGCCCTCTCAATCCATCTACAGCCAAACGTGAACAACCCAACCGTCCTACTCAATCCCCTTCCCATTCTCTCCATACAAACATCCCCTAAAACAATAAATCCAAACAACAACAACAAGCCATAGCTCCTAGACAAGCCCCCAAAAAGCCATCGGTAGATGAACCTCTCTGCTGTTGACCATATCCCTGTTGATATCCATAAGGTTGTTGTTGGTATCCATATGGAGGTTGTTGCTGATATCCCATCTGTGGACCTGGCGCATAGTATCCTCCTTGTGGTGGGTATCCTTGTTGAGGGTATTGTTGGCCTTGTTGCTGGTATGGTTGTTGATAAGGCTGTTGATATGGCTGCTGTTGATATTGAGGTTGAGGCGAGGGAGAGGGATGCATATATGCTGCTTGAGGGGGGATGGGTGCGGAGTTTTGAGTAGGACCATCCGAACCATATGCTGGAGGTGGAGGACCTTCTTCGTATTTCTTCGACATGTTTTATTGAGTTTTTGTAGATTGAATGCGACGTTGATGTTGGTATGGTAATTCTCGGAGACGGTCGGATGGTGATGTGAAGTCTTCTTGTAGATAGAATGGGAAGTCTCTGTATTATTAAGACAGATCTGTTAGATGGTGGCGCTTGGTACGATCTAATAATTCCAGATCAACGTCATACAAGATGGCTAAGTTAATTAACTAAGCTCCGAAGTATGTTTGAATTCGTATTCAACGGATGTGGATATGGTTCGGCCGACGAAACTGTAGGTATGAATCCTGTACTTGATGACAAGAACGTTGATTGAAAGAAAAAGGAGATGACAACGAAGTTATTGAGGCTGTAGAGATTACCTTGGAGATTTGGGTATTAAATGGGGATGAAAATGAGAAAGAAACAAAGAAAAGAAAAGAAAAGAAATGAAATGAAAAGAAAAGAAATGCTTGGTATTCGGAATTTCTGGGCTTTTCATATTTTGATAAGATAATACATTTACTGTCGCAAACTTGGCCTTTGATAGTGGCTTAGCACAAGATCATAATACCAACCGACGATCCTCGTACCAGCGATTCATTCGAGTACATCTCATGAGAGACGACACACACGCTTCATCATTCAGCTGGAGAAGAATGTGATGCCATTATCGAAGATAGGAAGATGGATGCTTGTTGAAAAGTTCAATGTAAAATGTCAAGAGAAGGGACGTGATGATGATCTTGTTAGCATTTGTTATGCCTTATTCTCATTCGTCCATAGCCATGGCCATGGTATTTTTATTATTTGGTGGAGCCCATACACATTACGTCGGCGGTAGAGATAAAGAGGAAAGATTTTCGAACTTTCTCTCCACAGTGGAGGGGCAACTGCAAGGTGAATCAATCTTGGTGCACAGAGTATTATGGATGGATGTACAGAGACTCAGAGAATACCTAGCTAGCTATCGAGGCTATCCATGGATGTATCTTCACATCTTCACATCTTCACATCTTCACACCTTCACATCTTCACATGCACAAGCGCCCTCAACCCTCGACCCCTCGATATGAGAGAATCCCATCCCATGCCAGCCTCTTTCTTTTTCCCATGTCAACAAAATTCAATTTTCATCCCACCAAAGATACCCGTGGACCTCCCTAATCAAGCGCGATATCATGAAAAGACTACCAGCCATCTTGATTATCAACCACTCACAGATCATGAAAAGTACCAGAAAAGCGGAAAAGTCTGCCTCGTACCTGTTTCCCCAGAGAGTTCTTGCTCATATTGTTCTAGATCGCGCAAGCCAAAGGTATAGAACTACGCGCATGCGATGAGAACTACTAGGTAGGTACAGAAAACGGATGCATGAGCGTTCGTTGATAGGTACCAGTATGCTCGGTATGTATGATATGTATGGGATAGTTTGAAGGAATCCTCGGAATGGGATAAAATCTACTTTTAGCTCATACTTTCACATCCAACTCCTTTCCAACTTTCTCTATATTCTTTCCTCTCTCTCTCTCCCTCCCTCCCTCCCTATCTTCTCTCCCTTTTTCTTCCCTTGACATAATATATCTTCAATTGGGACATCTCCAGTCAATCATTCCTCGTTCTTCGTTCCTCGTTCATCCATTCGTTATTCTTGTATTCACCCATCCACCCACTCCATAATTCCATCTTCAAGAATCAGCTTATCAAATTCAAGCATCACCCCTCCACTTGAATTGAATTTATCGTATCGTATCACCCCGTCAAGCTTAGACCAGCATCTATAAACAGCACAGCTCAGTCGTAAACATTCAATCAGGGTCTCAACACGCAAGCACATGAAAACACATCACACTTCTGGCGCATAGTTTGGGAATAAATTCAAGAAGCCTCTTCTACGCCTCGAGCGTCATATCGCTCGCAGGTTCATCATCAAACATGGCACCTATTCCATTTTCTCGATCCTCGGGAGTTTCACCATTCTCAAGGGATGTTGCGCATTCGGCTTCGTTAACCTCGAGGACGACGACAATTTTACAGCCAATCTCTACAATTTTCCACGGAAGAAATGTTCAATCATCTTCTCCTTCAGAATTGGCAAAACTCTTGACTCGCCTAATCTCGCGACAAACGGCGAGTAGTAACCCAAGTATAATTCCTACGACATACGGACAACAAAACAATTCTCCTTCGCCTGGCACAATCGTTGGCATAGTTTTGGGTTCGGTGGCAGGCTTTCTACTACTTCTCTGGCTCTTATATACATGTTGCACATTGGGACGTCGTCGATCTGCGCAATCTACAGTTACCGAAGATGTAACGTTCACTGAGAATGTCAGGCGGAGATCACATAATTCGCACCGGAGTTCGAGACCGCATAGTCGAAGAGTGAGCACAACTGAGAAAGTGGAGATTAGGCGTCAACGCAGTCGAAGCCCAGCTCCGGTCAGAATGGTGAGAGAGGAAGTGCGACAAGAAACGAGGAGGCCTCCTCCACCTGTAGAGAGAGTAATTGTTGAAGAGAGGAGAGAAGTGAGAAGGAGTAGGGAGAGAAGTCCTAGTTCAAGCGGTGGGGGTAGTGATGAAGTCGTGGTCATTGAAGAACACGACCCACCGAGGAGGTCGAAGAGTAAGAGGGAGAGGAGGGAGCGTGGGGAGCGTGGGGAGCGTGGAGAGCGTGGAGAGCGGGCGGAGCGAGATAGTGGATTCAGAACTGTAGACCCATTGAGCTTTGGGGGTGTCGTTGGTGGAGAAGGACGAAGAGGTGAAAGGAGAAGATGATACCCAAAGTTGTGAGAGAAACACTGGAGTTGCAATTGGAGATTGAGATTGGAGGTTTGGAGTAATGGCGGGGATATCTAGGGAGATGGAGAAATCTCCTGGCATTAATATAATTACAGAGCGCAAACCTTTCGACTACTTTTTTTCGACAATCCTACGCATAGAGGACCTCATTGTATTTTGAACCGCAAATTATGATTATTGCGCGGCGGTGGCTATTTGAATTCCTATTCCTTTTCCTTGTACGAATTTTTGCGGGTGGATGAACTTCCTTACACGGTGCTGACTGGCTGGCTGACTGGCTGGATATGGATGGCATGAAACGATCACATATATGGGAAATGATCATGATCATGATCATAATGCATGAAGGAAAACTGTATGTAGTATGTAGTATGAACGACGAGATCTTATTCAATAAATTTTCACATCTCCCAGATGAAGCATCGAGAAAAGCTAGGTACCTATCCATGAATGTATTCATTCGTGTTCCTCTTAACTTCTGTAGGGTACCTAGGTACTTGAAGAACATAAACAAATAAATAAATAAATAAATAAATAAATAGCCGTGATCCGTTGGTAATTTCCTGTGCTAGGTACGAATAGCCCTAAGTAGGTATATAATGCTACGCCCACGCCTTTCCCTCATTTTGTTTGTAGAGGATGAGAGGATTGGTTTTTGTTGGTGAGTTAATTTGATTTAGAGTTTGTAGGCGAGGGGGGTAAGGAAGGGTAAGGAAGCTTGTAAGTATGTACGAAGTATGTAAGTGTAAGTAGCTAATAAGTAGCTAAGTAGCTGAGTAAGTGATCGCCAAGGACCGCGGCGGGAAAAGTTTGTTATGCTATGCTATGCTATACTACTCATGTAACTAGAAAATATGCACCTTCTGTTTTAATAGGGTTAAATGAGTAAAAGGGAATTTTGTAGTATTTAAAAGAGGTGTAATAGTATAAATCATTGGAATTTGTATCAAAAGTACAGTATACTAGGGCTTTAACACAAATAGGTTATTTGATTGATTGATTTTGTAAAATTGATGTTGGTATACGACTAATGGAAGTGAAAAAAAAAAGAATGGATTTTATTGGTTTATCGTATAATGGCTGATATACTTGCTAGTGTATCGAGGGTTGGAGTTGCATATTTTTGGGTAGGATACCGACTCAGAGTATGCTGAGGATCTAGGTAGGTATTTTCCGTACGGTGTGGTAATCGGCCTGAGCAGCTTGCTTTGCTCTTCTGCAGATATACCGGTGCAGATTCTAGGATGGAATGGGGATGGGGAGGGGGAAGTGCGATGTCGGCGTGCTGGAGAGTTGGAGTTGGTTGCAATTGGCTTGGTGGTGATGGGATGGGATCACCATGTGATTTGCTGGATGGATGGGTGGGTGGTATGTGTGTATGTGGTGAGAATAAGTATCGATATTGTACGAGTATGGGGTAGTGGATACTCGTAGGTAACCTTAGATGATTGCTTATTAGTTCTTCATGCTTTCAATCATATCATTCGATGAGTGAATGAATGAATGAATGAATGAATGAATTGATTCCCTGGGTTTGGAACTTATGATATGAATTCAGATATTGGGAATCATTAGAGAATAAACATTTCATGTAATATTTCTGAGAAGCAGTTTGTAATTCTTAAAGATATCTATTATAAATAACTAGATAGTCAAAATCGGCCTCTTTTTCTCTCTACGAATAGGAGAATGTTCAAATGTTCACCTACCTGCGTACTTTCTACACCTAATGTTCCGTAAAATTATTCTATAAATCTACAAATCTAAAAATGTTATTTTTTTTAATAGATATTATAAATGATATAAAGTTAGTAGTTCTTTTCATGTTTTTAAATTCATATGATTTATTTGTAATTAACTACAAATACGATAGACTTCTTACGAATATAGGCTGTAAAGAATAATTAACGTGTTTTATTAGTGAGTGGTTTATATCAATGAATAAATTACTTATTTTATATATAAAATTCGTTTATGTATAATTATGTACTTTCTTTATTTGTAAATATAAATTTCTGAAAATTTGATATAAAATATTCAAATAACATGGTTTATTAGTGAGTGAGTTATATTAATAAATAGATCAGTTCGAAAACTATCTAAATCAAGCTTTTTAAAATCTTAATATTTTAATAATTAATTATTATTTTCTTAAATAAAAGATTTTAAAAAATAATTAAAATCTAGGTTTTTTATTAATCTAATTTTTATAAAATAATTTTATTATATCCTAAAAAGAAAAGGAAATTGTCACGATTTTCGTTATAAAAAATCTATTTTTATAATAAGATTTTTAATATTCTTATATATTGAAATATTTTATATCAAATTTTCAGAAAATTATATCTATAAATAAAGAAAGTGTACAGTTATGCACAGACGAATTTTGTATGTAAAATAAGTGATCTATTCACTGATATAACCCACTCACTAATAAACCACGTTATACAAAAATTTTAAAAATCTAATTAATTTTAAGAAATTCGAATCTATAAAGTTGTTATCATAAAAATAGTTTTTTTGTAGCAAAAATCGTAACAATTGTTTACAATAAAGGAGCAGGCCAGTGGAATATATGTATTATTAACTATGTAGATTAATTGTACTAAGGTAAAATCTAACTACGAAGTGGAAGTGATATATATATAGTAGCTTAGTGTACGTGCCTCAACTTCCAATAATAATTTCCTTTTTTATAAAAAAAAATTGATTTTATAAAAATTAAATTAACAGAAAATCTTGATTTTAATTATTTTTCAAGATCTTTTATTCAAGAAAATAATAATTAATTATTAAAATATTAATATTTTAAAAAGCTTGATTTAAATGATTTTCGAAATGATCTATTCACTAATATAACCCATTCACTGATAACACACGTTAAGCGATAAAAAAGCCGACTTGATTACTAGATAGTCTCGTAGCTCGCTGAGTTTGCTGAGTCGATGAGTACTTTACTACTTCGTATCGTATACTCCGTACCCGGGTAACTTTGTACACTACCTAGGCAAATTTATACCAATACTAATAATCATTCACAATCCAATCGGAGTTTTACCACAATTTTTGCAAAACCTGTGTGGGGTTTGGTAGGCAATGCACCATTTTTGTGGACTGACTAAGAACAGATGTGGTTGTCAAAGGGCGTGTTATCGACATTTTCCGACAAGGATTGACGATAACCTGATAACCAATTCATCCATGAAGATGACTGTTCCAGAGGAGGGGAGGGTAAGGTGACTGACTATTGTATCAGCTTTTGGTCATGTTTTCTATTCAATCATTCGTTCTTTCATTCTTTTATTCTTACATCTATCTGTCATCTTGTGAACAATATATACCCAAGGATTAATCATCTTTTCTTTTCCACGCCCTTTCTTGGACTCTTTCTTATCAATATCTTCATTTTCGCTCGCCTGACTCAATCAAGTACCTAGACAGTTCTGCACAGGATAGTGGGTTGTTTCTCTATCAGAGTACATTCCCCGCGTTCCACCTACTCAATTGAGTCTTACATATCATTACACTTTCATCCAAACGGCCCTCACGCCCTCTAGATGACCACAATTGACGAAATGGATGAGTTCTTCAATTTTGATGATGCCACTCACGCGGCCACCCCTCCGACTGCTGATCAATTCAATTATGATATTAGTCATCTCAATACTGTTTCAAGTGCAGGCCCTTATGACATCGACCTAGCCTTTGCAGATCCTGAAGGGGATGAGAATTCCTTTACCTGTCTACAGCATTTTTCGGCTCCAGAGGAACAAGTCTCTCAAGACTTGGAAACTGCCGTGGTTACACCGGCACTTGACACTACCACCCTTGAAGCACACGATTTTCAAGATTTTCCAAGATGGATTGATGGCATGTCCGAGCCCATCAAACCTTGTTCACGATGCCGACAGGAAAACACACATTGCAAAGTAATTAAAGAGGGTTTCCGTAAGGGCTCTTGCACATGTTGTGTAGCTCTTGCAAGAACATGCAGCTTGACACAAGATCTCAATATCAGGAGTAAAATATTATACGATTATCGTGCCTCGGGCAAGATCGATTGTGCTACTGACAGGCATGGATATTTTCGTATCAAAGAAGATGTATCCATGGCCTCAGCCGAGCAGTGTGAGTACTGCAAATCATTAGCCCAACCATGCTCAGGATTAGGAGACGGGGACAGCCTCGCTTGCCAAAGTTGCTCGGTGTTGAGTCGACTTTGCAGTTTGGTTAGATACAGTGATTCTTGGAAAGTCGCAGAAGACGAACCTCGAAGCAATTCTCTCACATCTCCTACATCACCATTTGAAGGATACAACTCTGGCCCTCTATCTCAAAACAACTCTCCAACGGATCTGCCAGCTCTTCAAACTTTGACAGAAAATCTTAAATCAGATGCTGGAGACAATAGTCCTAAAGTTGGTGCGAGATTCTCAAGACAGTCGGTACGAATTCTTAAGGACTGGTTGGGATTACATCATCGTCATCCATATCCAACTGACTCAGAGAGGGATATTCTGATGTCCAAAACGGGACTGAACAAAACGCAAATCACAAATTGGCTTGCCAATGCACGCCGTAGAGGAAAGACTAGGGCAACTGTTACTCCACCAACTGTGGGTAATTATGCAAATGCAATGGATATTCCAAGGAAAGGTACTCCTGCTTTAGAACATATGAATCCTTTGGAACGTTGGAAGCACTCTCCACCCGAACATGAACCTGCTTCCCAAACAGCTATCGCAAAGGCCGTCACAGCTTCTAGTTTTAGCTCTGGTCTGGACAGTCCATACACGAGTTACGCTGATGATGGATCGAATCGATCCCTGTATAATGTGTCATCGGCAAGTAGTTTGGGCACTTCTCATTCTAGTGCTGGTTCATTTGCTTCGGCATACTCTCATAAATCTCGCGGGTCTTTTGGTTCCTTTGGCTCTTTCGGGAATAAGGGTAGACGTCGTCGTCGTCGACAAGCACCCAAAGCAGCAAAGGTCATAGCTGCAGGTCCTGCGAGAACCTTTCAGTGCACTTTCTGTACTGAATCTTTCAAGACCAAACATGATTGGCAGAGGCATGAAAAATCACTCCATCTGTCACTGGAGAGATGGATCTGTTGTCCCAATGGACCTATACAGTACAACAAAGAATTCGAACGTCCAGGCTGCGTATATTGTGATCATCCAAATCCATCCGCTGCTCATGCAGAATCACATAACCATTCAAGTTGTGCTGAAAAGCCCATTGGAGAAAGGACATTCTACAGGAAAGATCACCTACGCCAACATCTGAACCTTGTTCACGATGTAAAATTTGCTAGTTGGAGTATGGAAAGTTGGAAAGCTATCACACCGGAGATACGTTCTAGATGTGGTTTCTGTGGAATTGTAATGGATTCCTGGACTGCTAGAGTGGATCATCTGGCGGAGCATTTCAAGAATGGTAAAAGTATGGTTGACTGGAAAGGTGACTGGGGTTTTGAACCACAAATTCTTAACATTGTTGAGAATGGAATTCCTCCTTGTAAGCATTTTTAGCCCTCGCCCGATTTTCTCATTCGTAATTACTAACGTTACAATAGATCTTATTCATGAAGAGCGAATGACCGTACGACCTTTCGAAGCCTCCCAAGATCCTTACAACGAGGATCGCACACCAGAAAATTTGGTCAAGAGTGGCCTTACACAATACGTCAATGATAAAGTTGTACAAGGCATAACTCCTACCGATGAAGAGTTACTCGGTATAGCTCGTCAAATAATTTGCAATCTGGATGCTGTCTCAGACTCACCACAATATCCCGACAGATCTTGGTTACGAGATCTAATCTTGTTATCTGGGTCGGATAACTACGAAACAGATGATCAAGATACACTTGAAATGACTCGAAAGAAACCATTCGAAACAGCTCAACATTCGTTAATTGGTGCAACACAATCAATACATCAATGTCCAAAGGAGCAAGCCTTGCGAAATTACGTCGATTCGAGACAAATGATTGGTCTAACCGCTACGGATTCTGAATTACAAGTTGAAGCATGCAGGATTATTGATGAAGCTGAGTTAACAGCCACAGTACCTTGCAAAGGTGCTGTTTCTTGGTTCAAATATTTGATAAAGAACTCAACCTCTTGGCTCGCTGATTTTAGAAGACGTGCGGGCTTGCCTAGGAGTTCTGAAATGGCTAACGAAGGTGTGAGATCAAAGGACGAGACTTCCATTGATCATGCCATACACAACTACGCAAGACTCGAGGCAGAGATGAAAGATTATGTGCAGCTTCAAGCTGCGTTGGGTATAAAGCCTACAGATTCTGATCTTCAACGACATGCTAGACTTATCGTTTATGGAAGTGATGATCAATGGAATCAAACTTGGGCTGACGATCCATTATATCTCCACATATTCAAGACCAGAAACGGACTTGCGCCAGCTGCAGAAAACAAACCTTCCATTATGTTTCCAACAGCGATCGATTCCCCTGGGCAAGCTGCATCGTCTCCATCACGAACTTTACACTGGGAGGTGGAGAACTTTGAAACTCGTAGTCGTCCAGGGAGTAAAGGAAGTAAAGGAACCTCACCAAACACGAATTACAATCAGCCTATTCATACACTCACAGCATCCAATCAGCCATCAACAAACTCTAACCCGGCACAACCTCTAAAATATTTTCTCAGCGATGCAAATTGTTACATTCGGTTAGTCCGAGAGCTTTCCAGGTTTGTGGCAAGGTGTATGTCACCAAACAATCCAAATCAACATGTAAGCTCACATTGATTCCTGGTATTCTCTTTTGCTGTATTGACAATTAGTAGGTACCAACAGACGCCGAACTTAAAAACCAAGCTCGCTGGGTGATTTACGATGACGATGATCCATGGAATCAAACCGCAGCTGATAATGCCGAATGGCTAATGCGATTCAAACGCGATGCTGGTCTCTCACCACAAGAGTCCGGACCAGGTCTTCCTACGGGAAATCTCTCCTGGAAGGTCTCTTTGGGTGGCACAGGCTTTTGCCCACCTTATCTAAATCCAGGAAAAGACATTAAGGCATGTGATACGACAGAATTCGAAGTCAACCTTGCCAAAATGGATGAAAGCGAAAAGATTGTGAAATTGAGAGGGAAAACCGCAAATGAATACATCAAAAGTCTTAAACAACGATATAAGATGCCCGCACAAGTGTTCTGCTCGAGAGAACTGGAGGAAGCATTACTAGATTTGGTCAAGACGGAAAAAGCACAAGGGCGCATTCCATCCGATGAGTTGTTCAGGGCTAAAGCAAGAGAGATTTTGAATGTGCCAAATACGGCTGCTGATGATAGTCAACTTTTGGAGAAATTCAAATCCCATTATGGAGTTTATTCAACAAGTTCTCCGCCACATTCGCAAACTCAAACTCAAACTCAAACTTATCAACCACAAGCCCAATCAATCCCTTCCTTTTCAACACATCAAACACCGGCTTTCCTCAACGATGATGATTTATTAGCTTCCTTTGATGAGGAATTACTCAACAATACAGACATGGATTTGGGCATGGAATTTAATCCTTCATCATCCATCAATATGGATTTCCTTTCAAATAATCCTTCAACGCAATTAGCTACTATCGCTGGCTCATGTTTATCTGCCTTGCCGCCATTTAGCAATGCCAATTCGGTTATGGATTTTGATATCAGTATGGGCATGGATCTCGCAATGGGAAATAATGGCTCCGAACCATGGGCTGGCTTACAATCAAACAACGTTGATATGAGTGCATTTGGTGCAATGGATACCATGGAAGGTATAGGAGAAATGGATGAGACATTCAACTTCGAGGGATTAGAAGAGTTGAATGAAGAGGATATGAATAAAGACATTGAGTATGCGGAGTTGCATAGAGTTAGTACGGCGACGGCTAGTCCGTGGAGAAGGAGAGCAAGTGAGAGGTTGGCAAGGGATGGCGGAAGAGGGTTTGATTTTGAGAGAGGTGGTAGGGAGAGATTGTGGTAGGGATGATGGGAGAAAGGAGCAATGAGTAATTGGGTTATTGGAAGGCGTTTGAATGTCATTTTCATGATTGGTATATGGGGATGCGATGAAATGAATTGAGATACTGTAACGATGATGAAAATCTGTGTATAGAAATGAAAGAGTAAGGAATGGGATAGATAATTCTAATTTAACAATATTCAAATCAGCATTCCAAGTTATTTCATACTTAACACTCTATATTCATTCATCTAGAACTGACGCTCCGCTGGCCCTCTGGGAGCCATTGCCGTGGAGGTCGAATAGATTCTTATTAGATGGTAACGATGTTATCGTATATGATGTATAAATCTTCGAGCGAAGCGAGCTATGGGGGTTTGGGGGCTTGCCCCCATAACCATAAGCGGTTTGGAGGTGGTTGGCTATCTATTTAGACTATTTTCAGTATATTTCTTGGGGTGGGATGGAAGATATGAGGATTGGAATGGGGTATGAATATTGGATATTGGATATTGGATATTGGATATTGGATACTTGACACTTGAGTTTGAAGTGTGAAGTTTGATAGAACGGATGGGTATTTTGTTGATAAATCTGGTCTGAATTGAAATCCCGTGACATCGCTCCCCGCAATTCACTAGTAAGCAGGGCCAATCCCTACAAACACAACCCCGCATTCACAACCCAAGTAGGCGTTGGTAGGTAATCATTATCTCAGCCTTGTCGTAAGATTACATACGAATGAAAACTACCTAGGTATCGTTTGATCCTACCTACCTATTAAAAATATCGACACGGGAATATCATCTCTTGCGAGAAAGGATTTTATTTTTCACAACCAGAATTATTCGGGAGGTGGATCTTTGATACGTACTTGGAAAATAGATTTATTTGAGGGATCGTCACATATCGAATATTGATACGGAAGAGAATATTACAGATAAGGAAGGATAGGGATAAGGAAAGAGATTCTTGAAGTGCTGAGATTGCGACTGCGACTACGACTACGACTGCGACTGGCAAGATTCATAGCTTTCTCTCTCTTGATGAGATTTATCTATTCTTCTTGAATTGAAACATATCGATAACCTCTTCGGAATCGCAGAGAAGATGCCGTTGGAGGTGCAAAATGTTGGTATTCTGAGTCTGCCTTCAGAGGTTCAATCAGGAATCTTGGTGCATGTAAGTTTTCCAATCTATTCTCTACTTCAAATGCCTGAACGTCATTTACATGTCTGATACATTTCAATGTGCGAATCTCGATGCGACGATACTAACACTGCTATCCTAGTTGGATACCCCAGATTTGCTTCAGTTGTCCGTCGTCTCAAAGCATTTCCGCGACCTAGCTGCCGAAGAGCTATATCGAACCTTTCATATTGTCTTTCCAGATGTCGATGACCAAGATGACTCAATCATCGATAGCCTTGCATCCGGGCTGGACACATTCGTTACGAGCGATTATGATTATTCGAAATATCTGAGACATATCATTCTGGAACCTTTGAATGGGAGTTTGAAGGGGCAATTGGCATACCGTCCTTATCTATATGATACTAGCTGTGGGAAATTCATGAACACGCTCCTACTCTTAACTTTGCGGAAAGCCAAAGCTCTTGAAGCATTCAAGTAGGTTGATTATATTATCCTCTTGGTATCAATGTGCACTTGCTAATCTGTGAATCTTAGATGGGACCTTCGTGTGCAGTTGGGTAGGCAGGTATTTAAAGAATTACATCGTATAAACTCTCTACAACATTTACATATTCGAATGCCAGCTGTACCGCCCTCCGTCACCAATACGAATCCATCTTTGACCTATAACGTTTCAACGCCTACTGTCATTCCAGCTTTTCAAACCACCCTGACTGACTCTGCAGTTTACGATATTTCATCCCATCCATATTCATCTTTCGCGGCGAACAAATCCAAACACAATGGTGGAAAAGGACATACTCCAATTCTCAATGGAAAATCTCCAATATTTGCAGGCTTTAGAAACTTGCAAAGTCTGGCAATTCTTGATATGGATAACTTGGATAATTTAACTGAAATTGGAGAATGTTTACGAAACTCATCAACAACTCTCAATTCCCTCAAGTTGTCATTCTCGGAGGTCTTTGCTTCTAGATCTAAAAAACCAACCGTGTCAGTTCCTGTCGATGATGACGATGAAACTGAAACTGAAGATGAGTTTGGTCAATTGACATCAAATCCTAATCCATTTTCGCTTGCATCTGATCCATTGAAAGGAACTACGGTCACAGAGGAAAAGAAAGCGCAGGAAGCTGCGTTGGGAAAGATCTTTAGTATCGACTCCAATTCAAAAGGCAATGCGGAAACAGATCAAAAAGAAGATGATTCAGAGATTGAAGTAGAGGGAAAGAAGGAAAAGTCTCCTTCCCTGGCTGCCTTTATAAAATTGATGCAAAAATCGGCGAAACTCATTGCTGAATTCACAATTTCGGACGCGGAAAGGGAACAAATTGTCGAGAAATTGATTACAAAGAGTACACAGGCTTACATTGACGGCTTGAAGAAGGGGATTGAATCTTCTGGTAAATCGGAGGCTAGTAATGTGGAAGGCAGCAATGCGGAAAATAGCAACACACCAGTCATTACTACAAATGGAAATGTTGAAAAGGATGCCAATGTGGAGAATAATACTGATTCATCAGCTACGACTACTTCTGGAGAGGAAGGAACTACAGATGATACCGAATCTGATGATCAACCTAGTCTATTTGACGAATCTAGAACGCCAACACAAGCACCTAAATCCAAAGAGATTATAGATCCAGACGATATCGATATAGAAGAACCTGATTCGAAGGAGCTTATGATAGATTCCGAAACTGTTGACGATGTTACTACTGAACCCGAGACGAATTCCGATTTGGGAGATGATTCTACCGAGAAAGTCGAACAACCTCTCAAGGCAGTCGAGACAAGTAGCAACGAAGCTGTAAAGGAGATTGAGGCTCCTAGTACCAATTCCGACAAGGAGATGAAAGATTACGTTCGGAAAAGTCGTGGTCTTGCCCTCGAGGATTTGTCACTCTATCAGATACCCATGAAAAATTCCGTCATCTCAAAAGCTATCGATATTAGAGTTTTGAAAAGCATTACTCTACTAAGTGTTGGATCTCAAACAACATTTTGGAATATGGTAGCACGCGAGAATAAAGTCGCTCCTCTTCCACTTCATGAGATTTACACCGATAATGTCACCGTACATTTCCTCGAAGCTGCTGGTCAACTTACCAAAATAACCGAACTTTGTTTGCTCGAACGATCTAATAGAACAAAAGTCGATACTGAGTCTAAGATTATCGTCACGATTGAACAAATCAGGAAACTGGTTCTTAGGAAACATGCTCAACATTTAAAGGTCTTGTCGTTGCATCAGGAAGGGATGCCTCATCAACAAAGTCCTTTTGCGTGGGATTTAGATGCTAAAGCGGCGATTTTACTTTGTAAGAAGGGGAAGAATTTGGAAGAATTGGCGGCCTCTTTTGATGTTAATATTTTGGTATGTTGTCTTGATGCTTTTCTACTATTAATCCTGTGGTATTTGAATATTCAAATATTCCTTTTTGGAGGGGCTCATTCTATCATTATCGCTTTGCTTGGTCATTTGAATGGATGCCGGATCTGACAAATTTGTCCTGTTGCACATGTCATGCATCAGTTCCAATTCTTGCGCATGTCAATCATCCATTCCATTCAACACATCTACATATTTATGATTTACTAACACTAAAACAGCACATCATCAATCAAAATCTTTCCGCCCTCACATCTCTTCGCGTTCTTCACGCAATCGAATTCCGCTCAGAAGATACATGTATGTTAGTTCGAAACGAACTACGAAAATTCACCATGGATAGCGTGGCTCATAACCCAGAGTGTAAACTGGAGTATCTAGCTTTCAAGGGAACCGTTAGTAAGATTGAGAGAATCAAGAAGAAGGTCAAGCGCGAGATCTTGAGCTTTGTGGAGTTGTATAAACAGAGTATGAAGGGATTGGGAGTGGGGAGTGATAGTGAGAGTGATAGTGAAAGTGAGAGAATCTTTTCCGGTGTTCTGTGTAGAGGATTAAAGGTGCAAAGTTTGGATGGCTTGGCGTTTCATGATATTCATGGCGTGAGGATCTTTGAGAAGGATGTTCTTTGGAAGAGACTTTAGAGTATGGGAATAGGGGTTGGGGGATGGGAGATAGATAGAGGGGGAGGGGAATATGAATGAGGGGTTTGATCTGGTTTGGTCTGGTTGGTAGGTAACGCGGGGCGTAAATGGGTGATTAATTAGAAACTTTACATGGGGAATTGTTTCCTTCTTTTCCTTGGGAGTAGGTATAGCGTAGGTAGGTATAGCTTAGCTGAGCTGAGCTTCATACATAGCAATGGAAATGAAAACTTGAATTTCAATTTTGAAGGGAGGAGAGAGGAGGAAGATTTTGGGGTGTGGTACATCTAAGATATCTAGGTATGTAGCTGTAAAACTCAAGAAAGGTAAAGTTTAATTCTTGGGGTTTTAGGATTTCAGGTTTTAGGATTTTAGGATTTATAGTCATGGAAAGAGAGAGAGAGAGAGAGTTTCTCTGTCCCCAAGCTTTAAAAGATCGATATAATATAACCTTGGGATACAATACAATACAATATCGCTAATGCAATCGACAAGAAATAAATAATCACCAAAAATGAATATTTTAATTCTTTAATCACTCACATATTTAGACTCATTCATTCTTTGTTCATTCTAGATTATCTATTCTCCATTCTCCATTACCACAAACCTCCCCCCCCAATACACACCCCTACAACTTCGCCTTCTCCCCCTCCCTCTCCCCCTCCTCCCTCCCCCTCCTCGCCAACCCCACAAACTTCCAACACAACTCCCCCATCGGCCACCTCGCCAACGCATGCACCTCCGCCTTCGCACTACTCGCCTGCCTCACCGCCCACCGCGCTGCAATACCCTGATAAATACACGTATTCCTAAAGAAACCAAAGGCGACGCCCCACGATAAATCGGGCTCCGGATCCCAGCCTGCCGTGTCCCGATACCAGGCGATGAGCTCCGCTTGCGCGGGCAGACCGGGGATGTCCGCGTCGCGGAATTGGGGGAGCGAGGCGAATTTTTCTTCGTGCCGTACGCTGTGGGGGGAGAGGATGTTGACGAGATCTGAGAGGGGGTGCCCGATGGTGGACATTTCCCAGCTGGGGAGAGGGGGATGTTAGTTTTGAGTTTATTTTGTTGTATTTTATTTTATGTCATATCATATCATTTCTCTCCAGAGAAATCAGATACAATACAGGGAGAAGAAAAATATACATACTCCAGAATGCCAATAACCCTCGGTTCGGTCTTATGAAAGACGAGATTATCAATTTTATAATCTCCATGCACGAGAGTCCCTCGATCGCGCGGTTGATATCTCTTATCTCTGAAGAATCCCAAGATCTCCTCGATATGCGGGATCGGGCCCACGGGTTTCTGCGTCTCGATATCCACCGTCGACGCTTGCGCCGCACTGATGGTGCCAAACGTTTTGATCTGGCGATCGTAGAATCCGTTTGCTTTGCCGAAACTCGTCAGTCCCGCTTGCGCGATGTCCACACGGTGGAGTTTGGCTAGAGTGCGGATGGCATCGTGCCACCTATTTGCAGAGCACGTTAGTATCTTCCTCTCCCATAACATCAATTATGCCATAACGACAAGCCAGAAGAAAAAGAAGAAGCAGAAGAAGCAAAACATACATCTCTCTCCTCTCCCCCTCACCCACCCCGGGCATCCCCGGATCCTCGATAATCCTCCCATCCAAAAACTCCATAATATAAAACGGCGTCCCAATGACCCCCTCATCCTCACACAAACAATACGTTTTCGGGACCGGCACATCCGTGTTCTCCAACGCGTGGATGACGCGGTACTCGCGCTCGACCTGATGCGCCGTCTTCGAAACGAGTTTTCCGGGTGGTTTCTTGCGCATCACGTATTTGCGACCATTGGAGGACAGGAGCTGGTATGTGGGATTGGATTGTCCGAAGCCGAACTTCACCGATGGAGAGATGGAATTAGCATTGCGCATCGAACATCACATCTTATGCCGAGAAACTCTTTCATTTCTTCACAAGAGGATGGAGAGAACAGTATACGCACCTGTTTAATCTCAATCGGGGTTGTGATTTCCGGAACATGCGTATCGATATATTTCTCCAGCGCCGGGAGATCAATCGGTTGTCTTACGGGGCCGGCCATGGTGAGTATACGATGGTGTGGAGAGGGAATTGTGTGTGGAATACGGGTTGGAACATCGTGAAGAGCTGATTGTTGTATTTATGAGACAGGATTGAGGTCCGACACTTTTGCCTCGGCCTCGGTTCAACAGGGATGTGGAAAGACGCTAACCCCCGCGGAGGCGGGGAAAGCTTATTGAAGATACCTACCTACTACTCGTAGCTCCGCCTAGGTACTCAGGAGAATAGTCAAGATTATAAAGAAGTGCGAGTGCTAGTGCCAGTTTATAGACATTAATACATTCCTCAATACATCCCTCATATTCTCAACCACCAACCAATCTCAAGCTTTAAATCACCAATCTTCAACATTATCAATGGTCTAATCGATTTACACAACATCACTCAATTTCCAATCCCTGGATACCTAGTCAAAAGAATAGATTTGCAACTCCTGGCTCAAATTACCACATGCTCAATGTCACCAATCCAACATGACAAATTGTATAGTAAAATAAATACTTCTAGATGAGATAATCCATACATGTATCTGGTATTTGGGTATATATAAGTCCTAATTCTTGAATTTGAAATCCCTGACAAACTAGTTGCTCGCTGTGTAAAGATAAATGCTCAAACATCATTTCCACCCACTTTTCTAATCCCTTTTTTCTCCTATTCACATCTCCTAACTCTACCACTAAATAATACAATGATACGAACACAAAAGGGGAAGCCGACCTCGAATTAATCGGGACACCCATTCCCCTCCTTCCTCTGTCCACAGTAGTGGAAAACTTTAATTCCATTCAGTCATCCAACCCAAACGCCATCCAAACCCCTCTATAAATACACTTGGAAGAAAACCAACAAACGAGATCTGACAAAAAGAAATATCAAACTTTCCATGCTGAAATGAACACGAGATTCATGACATGCAGATAGAAGGCAAAGGCGAGACATGCTCAAAATCAGGGTACGAATAATATAATACAGAAATGCAAATGCGGGAGAATGGAATATGAAGAAAAAATAGAAAAATAATAGATGTTCATGGTATCATCCCAAAAGTCAAAATCAAACAGGGCAAACAAATGGTGGAAATCCATACGCAATGAGGCAACTGAGATATATAAAAAATCATCCAGTTATGTCTGCAGCCCTCCTTTTCTTGGATGATTGGACTTTAAAAGTTCAAACTAGGTTGAACACCCTTCCCCATCGTGATCTGGCTTAAACTCAACGTCCTTGCATCACCATTTCCAGTGTCGACAGTCAGTCTTGAACTGCCGCTTGCGTAACCCTTTCCAGTCCCAAAAACTTCATCTCCAAAGTTCTGACCTCCTAATTCTTCTTTAGGAGTTTGAAAAGCTTCGGAACCTGCTGCGTATACGTCATCATCACTTTCCACGCCAAAGCCTTCAGATGTGCCTTTGGACGATGATGTAGTGTCAAGAATAGGGCCACCTCCAGTGGCAGAGTCAGGAGTGGGGTATGAAGTGGATGCTATCGAAGGATAAGAGGCCATCTGTCGTTGTAAGGTGAGAACAATGCTTTCAAGTTGTTCGCGAGCTGATTGTTCCGCCAAAAACATATTTGTTAAATTGTTGTAGTGCTCTATTGTTAAATGAGCATCTTTTTGAATAGTAGGAGAGCTAGATTGAAGACCTCGGATAGTAGTCGAGGTTGAAAGAGGTCGACCAGTGGTGTGGGAGCTGCTTAAGTGCACACGTTCATCTGTCGTTGCGGCAAATGGAGCTTGTATTGTATCATCAAAATCAGGGTGGTAAGAATTATGGGATGAGGATGTCGGCCGGTGAGGATTGTTGTTTGAGAGTCGGCTTTGAGCTCCAAATTCGTGCCAATGTCGATGCCGTGGTAAGCCTGGCAAAGTCGTTTCTGAATTATCAGTTGGGGGACGACGAGCAGAAGAGCTGCGGTCTCTTTTGCCTCCTTTGGGGGGATCTTGAAGTGCAACGTTGTCACCATTTTCGTTGAGTCGCCGATGAATCTGAAATACCGTCTTCTCCATTTCGACCAATCTAGACTCAATACGATCAACTCTTGTTGCCAGGTCGGCAGCTTGGGTGATCTTCATGCCACTTAATCCACTCAGATGACCGAAATTGAAAGGCTGTGGCTGCTCCTGAGAATCTATTAATCGTGGACTTTCCGGATCATTTATTGACCTAGGCTCCTCCACCTCCGCTTTGTCTGATGATAATGGAGATAATGGCCCCGGATCGTAGCTTGCTCTCCAATAACGAATTTCATCGCTCCGACGTCTATCGATTCCTCCCGCAATTCTTGCAGCTTCACGCAATTGACCGAGAGACCTTGACCGCCTGTTTGGGTGACTGCTAATGGTAACTGCCATTCCAATCGAACCAGGAAGCGCCTCGTCAGAGGGAGCTTTGCTGCTTTTAGCTTGAGCACTTGCAGGTCGTGGTGAGAGCCCCGTCCAATTCATATATCCTGGTGTTTTATCTGGAGTGTATAGTCTTCCCGTTGTAACCCTTGTTCTTGTCGTTGTACTTTGTGTTTGTGTGGATATACGGTTTGGGTCCCGCTCTGTATTGATCTGTTCCTTTAAGCTACCATCTACGAAAGGAGAATGCGATCGGAGGGCGCGATTAAACTCGTTGATCGGCATGGAAGTAGATCGTTTGGGGGAGGTCGCGGTATTCAGTGGACTTCGGCTGAGCGCAGATGGGTCCTACAAATTATTAGACAATAGTAACGTAACGCAACATGCCTCTACTCACGCTGCGGTGATGCTGTTCACTCTGCAGAGCGTCAACGCTCTGTTTCTTATTTGAAGCATCCTTCTTTTTCTTGCCAAAGATTTTGCCAAACACTCCTTTGAAAGTCGACTTCTTTCGCGCCGGCTTCGAGAGTATTGAGTCTGATGGTCTGCCAACAGGCGATGAGCTCCTTGGAACGCTGTAATCCTCTGTCCTACGTGAGGGGGCATTGTATGATGGCCGATCGGAGGGTAAAGGGGTGGTTCCTATTCGCCTGGGTGGTTCGACATAACTACCGGTCCCAATATCTCCATGTGCCAGAGCACTATCGCGGCCAGAAATGGCGGAGCCCCTCATAACTTTATCGATTCCATCAGAATTGAGAGATCCAAGAGGCGTTGCTATACCAGTTCCTGGAGAGCGAATGGGAAATTCGTCGTCGTCCTGGATTGGAATCGGAGCAGATATCTTCCCACGAATGGTCGAACCGGTATTTGTTCGACCTGAAGTTTCCGTCTTCCAGGTCCCGGCCTTTGTAAATTTACTCATCTTACTGAGAGCCGGATATTAGAACGGGTCCTTCAGTCTGCCTGTATTCATAAGTGGGTCGAGGATTAAGGATAAATCTATTGTGACAGTGGATTGTTTGATAGATGTGGAACGACCTCTAGGCATATTCGCAAGTTCCGAACGACGAGAAGATTGAAAAGTCTCAGATTCCCCAGTCGAAAGAGATGTTAAAATTCCATCATCGATTCTCAGGGTTGAGTGTACGGCAGTCGAGTATATATATGTGCATATATATATATTATCTCTGCCCTCTCTCGCTCTCTCTCTTAAGCAACTCCGTACTATTCAATGAAATGGGTCAATGGGTCCCTTTACCCAGGGAACTTTATCGATCCAGGGCGCATCACACGTATCATATATTCTGCGACAGAAGTAAGCTACTGACAAGGAGTGACCATGAAACAAGATAAATGACAAGAAGGAAAATTGAAAGGACGGGGAGATCGATTCAAGAATAGAACTAAAAGATTCAAGCCAAACCCACAAAGGTAAGGTTGAATGGAATGATCGATTTCATCCCTGTTGAGGCGGCTGTATGGAGCAATGAAGCATTGAAGCATTGAAGCATTGGAGGGAGGTGGATTGAAAAGATTGGTAATGATACGAATCTCATCCAGTATCTCGCAGGAAGTGAGCCAGCATCTGCCAGCATTTTTTTATAGCATTTTTTTATAGCATTTTCTCGCATTTCTTCACATTTCTTCGCATCTCTTGTAAAATTTATGGTCAAGAACAAGGAAGAAGATCTTGTACCAACCTACTCGAGAACTGACTGCACGAGATAGTAAGAATAATGTGCGTAAAGCTAGGGACTTGGGAAGGTATGAGTTGTTGTCTGCAATGCACAAGAATTTTACCCCACGAAGGCTGGAAGCTCGACTGCTTGAGGGGTTTGGTTTGGTTAATGAATCAATCAATCGATCAATCAATCAATCATATCAATTATATCATATCATACATATATCCATATATCCATCCATACATACATATACATACATTCATCCTACATCCATATATACATACCCATTCATACACTCATCCATCAACTGGAATTCAACATTTGCAGTACTTGAGACGAACACAGTTAGACAAGTACATGTCAAAAGTGGAAATCCGCAAAAGGGAGACATGTAATTTACAAAAGAAGCAGAAAAAGAGCTAAAAAGAGCTTGAAGAATAAGAAACCAGCTAGTAGTAATAATAATAATAATAATAATAATAATAATCTCAATGAATCAAATCAATCACACAACCATCCAACCGTCCCCCCGAAACACCATAATCTTCTCCGGCATAGCGTTACCTAGGTAGGACATAAACAAACCAATGCGAAAATTTCCTTTTTCTTTCGGTTGACGAACTCCCAACATCGTCCGAAAAGAGTTAAAGGAATCTAAGGATACAAAGGATATAAGTCCTCATTCGTGCGTGGTGCCGCCCATCCACCATGCTTGCTTTTGGAGCCTTTCTCTCTTGGAACGAGGAAGCGGAGAGAAGAATTTTGATTGATGGATGATGGGTGAGAGATGATGGATGCGGATGCGTGGTGGAGCTCGCGCGGTAGTCTATTCATGCAGGGTGTGTTGGAGGTTGAGTGTTTATGGGTAGTATCACGGCTAGTACGAGTAGGTATGGATGTAGTGGAAGTGGTGGAAGTGGTAGATGTGGTAGATGTGGTAGATGTTATGGATGTTATGGATGTGGTAGATGGGTTCTGTGAGTGGAAGTGGAAGTGGAAGTGGAAGTGTAAGTACTGCGGAGTACTCACCTAGATATTATTATTATTCATACACATCTACACTCCAAGTCTCCAACCAACCCCTTCATCCAAAGCGAGGTATTTAGTATATTTAGTATTATCACTATCGTATCTAGGTATGCAAGTCGTGTCTATGCCAATCCCGTAAATCCTGTAAATCTCTATTCCATAGCAAGGAATTACTAATAAGTACTCTATACCAGTATAAAATAGAAAATATAAAATATCGAGGTTACTCACACTCACACTCACACTCACACTCACACTCACACTCAACAAACCCCCTCCTATTCCCCCATCCAAAATCACAAATCTAGATCTTCACCACCCTCCAAACTCTATACATACATACATACATACATACATACATACAACCCCCTCTCTCCTAAGATACACTACACAGTACATACACATACACACATAAAATACCACACTATCTCAGATAACGGTTAAACATGCACTGCACTGCAGCTCACCCATCCTCCACCTTACATCCCTCCATCTTGCGTACTCTAGGAATAGTACCAAACGACCATCTATCTACCTAGACATGCAATATGCAATATGCAATATGCAAATGCAAATGCAAATGCAAATGCAATTTTAAGCCCCTTCACTTCCCTTCCCTTCACAAATCACATCCTACCTACCTACCTACCTATCTACATACCTACCAGCACGCTTCTACTTCTAACATCCTTCACACAGTCACCCTTCCATGGCGTAATACGCGCCTAGTAGTACAGGTAGGGTAGGTATGTATGTAACGGAACAGTGTCGCATGTTCAGGGGATATATTCGGACTCGTATTTTCAACCGACCCTTACAATTCTAAGTTCTGCAGCAGCCGGGCCGGAGATGATATTGTATATTTAATATTATACATTTTACATATTATAAAAATGAGTGAGTGTAATCATTCCATACAGTGAATATACAATATTCAAGTAACATAAATACTATAACTACATTATATCATACCACACCATACACATACCATAATATAATAACCATCCTCCATTCTCGCTCCTGCACACATCTCAACTTAACATATTATGATATACAGCGTACCGAAACAGTATAGTACAGTACAGTACTACCCAAGGTCACTCACAATGATTGAAGTGATTATGATTATGATTATGATTGTGATGAATGGATGGATACCCACGAGATACTTACTATACCAGGTATATTTACCCGAACGCACTTACATACAAAACCTACCTATCTACATCCATCTCGAGCCTACCTACATCCATCTTCATCCAAGGATGGATATTCACATCCTCAATACAAACCCTGAATGATCCGCGGCCACAGCGGCATGAAAAATGGATTAAATCTCTCTCTACCTCTACTTAGGTACGGTACTACTCCGTACACACTATCAAACCAGATCAATAGTGTCAGTGTCACCCATAAAAAAAACTCTCCTAGTCTCTAGATCAATAGTTATGAGTTATCCGCGGCCAGAAGTTCTAGAGGGCACTTAGCCTACATGACAATGACATCCATCGAAATCTAGTCTATACCGCAAGTGTGCAAGCCCGAAATGCAAAAACGGGAACTCAATCTCCAATTCGCGATTAGCTTTTCCTCTTGCACGCGGCATGAATAAATCCTTCTTCTTTAAACTTTGCGTCTGCGCTCTAGATGTGGTAGGTATATTATATCATATCATGTCATCTCATATCAAAAGATTCGACACTAAAACTTCACCACCTACCACCCATAGACATCCCCACAATTTTCGGCGTCCGTGAAGATGCGATAGGTCGTGTCGTCTTCATACTTTCCATGCAATATACAGATGTGACAGCTGACGCCGCCATAATCAAATTTGGGGTCTTTGACTCTTCGGTAAGAGAGAGAAGGGAAAAAACGGGTGATCAAGTCTTTTTGGGAGAGATAGAAGGTGGGTTTTCTTGAAATGTTCTCTGTACGAAGCACACCTTGGGAACCGTGCCACTGTCATACTCTACATGAAACTACAGGGGGTCCTTGATATAGAGTTCGTCATTCGTCTGATGCACACCCTCTTCTTGAAAGGGAAAGATCAGAATCGCGTGGCACGACAGCGATGGTGTTTATGGACAATTTGTGGGTCATCAGCAAAGACCAAGAAGAACTGCGAAGAGCGACAAGCTTCCGAGGCAATCCTCCAAGCTCCATGCGTAACTGCATAATTTCTTTCATGGATCTAAAACTTTGGTACGGGAACTAGAGTGCCATTGAAGGTGTAACGGTTTTCGGATTTTTCGACCGAAATTCTAATTTATTGATTGCCATTACGAGTTCAACTCCGCTATGGATGGGTATCGTAAGTCGGCATTTTCTTCCAGAAAGGCCATCCATCGTTTGAGAAATTTACTACCTCTGCATCGATCATACATCCATTGTCAGCATAGGGTCTCAACCAGATTGGATTGAGTAAATAAATATATACAGAGTATAAGAAGGTGAAAAGGAGGTCTGAACTTACCTCGAGACAGTTTCCGAATCACCAATGATTGTCAGTGAGCGTCGCGGTCGGGTCATAGCGACTAAATTTTGCAGATTATATCAGTTGCATGATCATGATTTCCTCATTTTTATTTGTGCATAGATATTTGGAAGTACAAATGCTTAGCATTCGTTGTGTGAGGTCGATTATCAAACATGCTATAGCCCATAGCCCAAGAACCGTTTGATTTTGTTTGCGGGAGATCTGCTTGAACAGTGATCATGCTGGGATGCGGGGGGGGGGGGGGTGCTTAACGAAATTCATGCAAAGAAGGGTTCAAAGGTTCTAGAAGTAGAGAACAGATGAAGAAATTCATGCAAAAGGGAGGACGTACCATTCAGTCTGCGCCTCTCTCCTAAAAATCCCACTTCGCGTTCGCTGTTACTTCGAACGAGGGAAACAATGATTGCTTCTTTTTCCCTTCCTTGAAACCCATCAACACTGCCCAGTTCGATGCCGGGAAAGGCCTCCTTCATCGATCGAGACATTAATGCGAGCTTTTTGGGTTAGTATTACTTCAGAGGAAAGATCATGAAGCACAAGAAACTGCTATCATTCTCACCTGAGCGTTGTATGGCGTCACAACTGCAATATCCTCTGGCTTCAACCCAGCATCGACAAGATTTTGGACATGCCGTCTCACGAGAATAGCTTCCATTTCGTTACTTTTACTTTCACCTAACATTCCCTTGCCGGCTTTCTTATCAACACTCT